GGCAGATGCAAAGCAGGAAAGTGGCATTGCTCGAGAAACCAATCAAGTGGCTAAAAAAATGGTTCAGGACAGCGAACACGTTTTACTATTGCCAGCAGCTTGAGGCTCAGGAGCGCTAATCAAAATTCACATGACAAACTTCCCCGATAGATTGAACAGTTTTGCATTGTTAAGAAGGGGCTCGCCCCGTGTGAATGGTCCACTGCTGTGCTGAACAAAATGGAGACAGTTTTCTTTTAAAGTCCAGAGCAGATGAGAGCCATAGGGAGACAGAGGGTTTCATTTACTCTCAGGACACGATTGTGCCAGTGAACTAATGAGTCTCTTGGACCTTATGTTGCTCTGGCTTCAATCGAGGCGCGGCTCTAATGGGCATGTAGTACTTCCTATCTGTCAAGTGTCTGGACAATGGGCCCCTCCTATGGATTAGAAAGATCTGGCAGGAAAAAGAGGTCATCATTGTACCTAGCACGGGCAGGGAACCTGGCTAATTAATGTATTTCCAACTATAGCAAAACAAAAGCTGACACACAGAGAAATGTTAATTTTATTGCAGAAACTCTTAGCCTGTGGGTGAAACACAGTAAAAAAAATTATTGAAATTCCATAGGTAAGAATACTCCTCCTTTCCCCAACATACTCGGATATTTTTATAGATATAAAAATCACTCTTTAAAACAATACATGATTTCGGTGTTGCAGCTTGCATATTTTTAGACAATTATGAAGCAAATGCTGAAAGTTAGTGCCAGCACTGCAAAATTTTAGCGATGTGCTCTTTTAAAGGTACTGCACTGTTGAACAACGCTTCAAAAAATCCTACTGCTGTTTTAAATGGAGAACTAGAGAATACAAATGTTTATTCAAGCTAGAGGGCTCAAGTTACGCTCTATCTCGAACTAAGAGCAGATACTGCCATCTAGATTAATTCTGGTGCTTTGTCTAACTAGATATTGGCTTACCCTCCTTTTTGAAAAATGGCAACAACAATAAACAACAGTGGCTCGGTACAACAAAAATACAATGAATAGTAAAGAATCACTTAAAAATTCATATAAATATAATGTCAAGTCTTGGGAAAAATGGCTTTTGTGTTTTTCCAAATAGCAATGAGTAAGCCTTTATTCAATTTTTTAAATGCAGAAGATAAATGACTATCAGAAATAGGAGGAGAGAGCTGGGCATGGTTGCGCACCTGTCGTCCCAGCTACTCTGGAGGCTGAGGCAGGAGGATTGCTTGAGCCCTGCCTGAGCTCTGGAGCAGCTGGGAGTTCGAGGTTACAGTTAGCTATAATCATGCTATTGCATTCCAGCCTGGTCAGCAGAGCAAGACCCTATCTCTTAAAGAAAATAAAAAATAAAAAGAAGGAGAAAACTTTATAAAACATTTTTAAAAAGCTCCATAATCCTGAAGATTATAAAGAAGTAAATGTAGAAGTGATATCAGTTAGACTTTTAGCTTTCTTCTATTAGATTTCTTTTTCCTAAATCTGGGAAGAGGTAAGGATTTTCAACACTCTCAAGTGAAAATACAAATAGGTTTTGGTTTAATAAGCAAAATAAGATCACTTAATAGACAATTTTTTAAAAAGAGCATTCCATTATAATCTGTTCTAATTCACCTCCAAGGGAACAAAGCACACTGATTTCCCCCTACTTTTAATTCCTAACAGCAAAAGGAATGATGCCTTTTTTGTTCCGGATTGGGATTCAAAATCATAATGTATTCCAGGATCATTTATCAGGATTAGAGAGGTTTTTATCAACTTTGGACTGTTGCTCTTCTTGAAATTTCATTTTGTTTTCCTCTGTTACACCCAGAATGGTTTCAATATCATCAATGGTGGTCTGTAAACAAACAACGAAAACAATATTCATTCAGTCGTTACTTAAACACCTCTTGCAACCCCCCTACAAGCATTTGCTCCTTTTTGAAGTTAAGTATGATTTAGACCAGTTCTACTCAAAGTGTGTTCCACTGACTGGCACCTGTCTACAAATCGTTGGTTACCAGTCTTGCTGAAATGAGTAAAAAAGTAGAGAGTAAGAATTTGTAACTCTTTCTAGAATTTTTATGTCTATTAAGTCTAACAATGAAAACACTAGGCTTCTATTTTGCACATCTTTAATTTTTTCATTTTTTTTTTAGTAATTCAATTTTGTTGTATTTTACAAAGATATCGCACCGTGACAGGTCAGAAAAAAACAAAACAAAACAAATAGGTTCTTCACTACAGATAGTTTCGGAAGCACTGGTCTCGTCACCCTAGAAAGAGGGCTAGGAGGCTTATGGCAGGGTTTATTTCCATTGGTTGCTGGGAAGAAAAATGAACTTTCCCATTTTACTTAATTGATATTTTATTAAGGTATAATTCCCATACCATAAAAGTCAGCCTTATAAAGTGTACAAATCAATGGTTTTTAGTATATTCACAAGCAACCGTCACCACTGTGTAATTCCCAAACATTTTCATCCCCCCAAATAGAAACCCTGTGCCCACTGGCAGTCACTCCCCATAGTCTCCCGCTCCCCCAGCCTCTGGCAACCACTAATCTCCTTTCTGTTGCTATGGATTTGCCTGCATCTACATTTCATATAAGTGGAATCATGTGATATGTAGTCTTTTGTGACTGGCTTCTTCCACTCAACATAATGTTTTCAAGGTTTATCCATATAATACAATGTCAGCTTATGGACATTTGGTTGTTTCTACTTTTTGACTATTATGCATAACGCTTCCAAGAACATTAAAGTACAAGCTTTTGTGTGAACATGTTTTCAACACTCTTGAGTATGTACCCAGGAGTGGAATTGCTGGGTCATATGGTAATTTTATGTTTAATTTTTTGAGGAACTGCTAAACTTTACACAGTTATGACACCATTTTATATTCCAACCAGCAATGTATGAGGGTGGGTTCCAGTTTCCAGTTTCTCCATATCCTTGCCAACACTTGTTATTGCCTGTTTTTTTTTTTTAATTGTAGCCATCGTAGTGGGTGTAAAATGGTGTCTCATTATGGTTTTGATTTGCATTTCCCTAATGACTTACGATGTTGAGCATTTCTTCATATATTTATTGGCCATTTGTATATCTTCTTC